AAGTGATCGAAATATAAAACCTCCAGCACACAGGTATGCAATTAATAATAGAGTTAAGCCAATATTTTTGAGGATTATTTTTAAATAATGTAAACAATATTTTCCAGAACGACGTTTTTTTGTTTTAATAGTTGAAACGATGGAACTGCCATATTCATCAACAACTTCAGTTGTGATAGTTTTCGATGTAAAATTAAAGTCATTAGATAGTTGTGTTTCTTCCATGGAGTAAAAGAACCACTTCACAATTGCCTGGTATTTACCAGTCCACTAATGCTTTAATCATCATATATATACTCAGATAATAAAGTGAATAATTTTGATTGGTTAAATAAGCATGTTAATTGGTAACCTTTTTTGATTGATAGAGGGATAGACATGTAAATGATATAAATTTTCACATCATTATTTCAAAATAGTTGGACAAACAAAATGAGTTTACAAGAATTCATTTTAATCAAATAAGGGTATCAACATGCATTATCATATCTAGCTGCTTAATCCACATTTAATGTAGGATCAACATTATATACTTATTAAGATATTGGAATAATGGTAAATGTTATTTATTATTATGATTTACCGTTTGTGGGTTAGTTGTAATAAACTATTTACCCTTCTAGAATTTAATTTCATTAGTGGATACCGTAGTAATTTCATCTGAAGATTAATTTATCATTGTTAATACTTTAAGAATTATTCGTTCTTTTCAAGAATCGTTGTTTGACAATGAATACTTCGATGTTAGTATTTAGGCCAGGTTTGCCACCGATTATACATATCTAGAAGATTCTGTATTTCGATATTCGATTATATACAAAGGTATTTATAGGACTTCACATGATAGTAAGATCCTAGAAGCTGTCCAAAAGTATGCTAAAATAGGTAGTTGTCTGATCAGGGTAAGTATAGAACAATAAAACATCGTAAATGTTTCTATTAACAGTTTCCTAAGAGCATTAACTGGTCGAAGTAATTTCAGAATTTTTTCTGACTCTTCCAAGGAATTATTGAAGACTTCTGACAACACTGAATTTCAGTGATTCTACAGATGTAAATCAGCCACGGGAAATTTTCTTATTCCCGTGTCCAAATAGCCACTTCTGTTTTAACACCATCTTATTATCAAATACCTAAACAATTATTAAGAATTAACGAGCAAACCAGATAAATCATGTCACTGGATCTATAAAAATGTTGTACGTCCTATGGTGTTGATAACTGACGGAAAACAACACAATCCTGATAGACTTTATAACATGACTTTTTTTGTTTTATCTTAAGGTTTAGTTCGATTTGGTCTATCGTAACTAAGAATACAAACGGTGAAGAAATTTCTAACGAGGATAGACTATTGGGAACTCGAAAAGGCAGTAACTGATACGCACCACTTCAGCGATAATCCCCAAAGATGTAACCCAATAACATGTTAGAAGTGCAGAAGGTAATTTGATGTTTACAAAGACAGAATCAAAGTGAAACAAGTCTCTGTGAAATCAATAAACATGACCATGATTCAGAAAAGTTAACAAACATCATGCAGAGAAAATTGTACCTATAATTATCGTTGCAAGAAAGAACTAACGCATATTCACAAGAAACTAGACAACCTGGATTTCTTCCAGCAAATGGTACCAAAGTCAAGCTGTATGATTCAATCTGCAAAATTCAGTTACTGAACAGATTTTAATTATTACATCAGTCACTGTATATATCTAAGTGTTGAATGAATGAAACAATATAGGACAGTTTGAAAGAGATCCTGAACATAATTTTATTTAAAAAAATACTTTCTCGTTGTTTCTATTAGAGACTAATTAATTTATCTCCGTTGTTATATGTTGTGCCATCAGTGGATTATTTTTTATCTTATCCTTTGATCAGAAGTTTTCATTATATTTGAACTATGACTGGTAGTAAAATCCAAAACCCTTGATTTGATGCGAATAGTGTGGCTTACTGATGACATACTTGTTTACAAAATAATTAAGATAAACATGATTTAAATTCGCTTAAGACGTAAATGATTATTGGATTGTAAAGTTGACGGAACCTTTTTCACAATTCATATAAATTTTCTTGTTACGCTAAAGTAATTTTAGTTAGTACTACTTTGGTGCACTTTTCAATAGCACAATATTTACAGAAAGCTATTCATTCATCTAGCTCAACTTCTGAAAGTAACGACTTAAATCTTAATGATTTACTGATGATAGCCAGCGACAAAGCTTTGATTTTTTTCTTAATACTGTGGAGTGGATGAATATGTTTAGATGTAATGCTAATGGGTAACAATTTGTTTGCGACTTAGTATTTTATCCATACTGTTCTAATTTCACAAATCATCTGTTGACTACATCTTACTAATTATAACTTACCATGTATTTATTGCGCAAGTAAACTAACTACAATACCTAGCGAATACTTGCAGTTAAGTTTAGCACGATGGAACAGTTGAAATGAGAAATTTATGGTCGACTTGAATTGACTCAGAAACGAATGTCAGGCTTAACATTTATAAGAATCTTATCTAATCTTTCTGTATTCCCCACTAAACCTAGATCATTTTATAGACACCCTCTTTTAAAATTCTTCTCGATCCCCATTACATTCTAATGCTTTCATTTTCTTAAGGCATTAACTTAATCTAAATCTTAAGAAATTCGACAACATTCACTATCCATATTTACCAATAAATACTCCATACTCATTTATCGACAATGAAATCAAAATCTATCACCTGGCCTTATCATAATCCAAGCTCTAATATTAATCATATTGAAGCCTATATTCAATGACTATTTGAATGATTGTGTTATAGCTGTGAAAAATAATGCTGCTGATTAAGGGGTAGCGAATTATTGATCGGACCAAAGACGCACAAACACGTAGAACGGCCTAGGGTTCTGATTGGTCCCGCTTCCCTGTCCAACCCAGCCAGTTAAGTCCAGAACACAAGTCACAGCCTGGGATATATGAATCATTATATTTTAAACATACTTTGTTTATATACCAGTCAAGCAGACCACAACGTACCATAAAATAGAAAATAACATTGTACAATAATGGCCAGTAGGAAAATGACACGTTGAATAAATATTGACCAATAAGATGATACCATTTCATGTCCAAGGGTAGCATTAGGCTTAACAGAATAATTTTTGGGATATTTTCCTGAATATCCCAACAGATTGTAATTCATATTTATTTATAAATGAATTCATGTTCCGATTTCATTGAGATTATAATTGACTCCAGTTTAAGGTTAGATAGAATCACGATATCGATCAGATCGACTAGTTCTCCATATTCATGGTATGAAGAATTACCCTGAATTGTTCAGTTAAGCAGATTTAGCTATCTTGATTATTCTAAAACTAGTACCATTGAGAATCATGATAGTATGGGACATTTTTGTCCAAGATTTGAATATATCTTTTTAGTGGTGTAAGAATTTCTTGAGTCTTGAGAGAAGCAGAAGCATTTTATACTTCGAAGTTTATTATTAGAATCTGCTGTATCATACATTTGCGACAAGATTCTTTACATCAGTTTCCATCGTAATAAATGATCTTTTTTTCAAAGTAATAACTTTAGGATAATTAAAGAACCAGGAAAAACCTATATGATCTGAAAGTGAATGGGCAGCCAAATCAGAATAATGAGCAGTTACAAACTTTCTGGAACGAATTCGGATTTGTGTAAACAGTATGACTTTGACTATTTATCAGTCATAAACACCAGAGAACCTGGTATTCGGATGTGAATACAAATATATTCCTTAAGAATTAATCAGCTTTGGATTCCCTTTTACTTATGCTACTAGTCCACTTTATTGGTTTAGAAAAAGGATCAATTAACTTTCTGAAAATAACAATTTATTGAAAATTGGTCGTGTGAAAGGTTTAAAATATTGAAACATAGCCGACTGAGATCCTGATAAAACTACAAATGAATGTACGAGTAATTCCGTACTGGTATCAACTATACGAGTCAAATCTTCATTCTTTTAGGCAAACCGATTGGTACGATTAACTGTGTTAGATTCCATTAGAGAATAAATCTCAATTCCTCCGCGTGCTTCGTCGGGATGAAACTCATATATAAGATTGTATGCTCAGATTTAAGCCTTACTTTAAATGTGAGGGGTGTCAACAAATATCCAGCTGTCCAAAGTGACATAAGCGGAGAGAAGTTCGAACCAGCGAATTACAGGTTGAAAGAAGGCTTTAATCATTAAGCCACTGTTTCTAACAGCTTACAAAATACCCTAGTAAAAGGTTATGGTTTCTTTATAAGTTAAAAGGGGTAATTATTGGAACCGGAACTTTACTAATATTCCTGTAGCGCAGAACAAAGGTTATTAGTCACCAACGCCAACATTTTTACATTAACATTCATTTGATCGAAATGCAACGAATTCGGTTTTCAGTTCTCTACATTTTCTCCACACATTTGGTGGTTTTGGAATTAGTCAGTTAACTTTTTGGTACAATGTACTTCAATGTGATCATACAGCAAAACACGATCATTTGATGTCAATGTAACTTAAATTTGTATCAATCAATACAGTAAAAAAAGAATGAGAATTATCGAAACGGAGAAGTATACACTGAAATCGACGTACGCCTTCCGTTCATTTGCCATACATAAAAAATTAGAAGAAACTTCTAAAGCAACTGCTTTATAACTGTTTAAATACTGTAACAAATCTTCATCTTTCAAAACTATTTAAACCCAATTATTACGTACGTTAAGTTCGTACATGTACTCAATCATTTCTATAAAGAGCTTGAAACCTATAACAGAGCTAACTATTGCACAATAAAGAAAGATTCACCAACACCATCACAGCGATTGACATATTCTGTACCTTTTGTCCTTTGAATAAACGACTACAATCGGATTCATACATCAAGTATAACATAAGATGAGGAAAAATGTCAAAAAAGCCAAATTGGTTGAAAGCACTTGTGAATGAAGATAAATAACAGCTAGTTAGTGTTTAAGATTTTTTTAATACAAATTTTTTTATTTACAAGTTGAATGAATATAATACGCGAAGTTGTAGAGATATTGCAGATCTTGTGCTTGGAATTACTTGTTATAATCAAACATATGGTATCGAACACAGATATTATTATGAAACTTCAATTCAAATACTATTGAAACATCACGCATAGGTTAGAGACAAAAGCGGTTTATTCTACTAAGATTTCCAGGATAATCTTTCTTATTGGGAATATGAAAGACTATTACGCTTCAACATTGAAAAGAAATTGATAATACACACGCAGGGACAGAGAGCAATGATCATAGTCTAAACTATTACAAGAAGCAGCATCGCTGATCGCTAATATTGCGATGAAATGACGCGATATTCTCACAAATCAGAAAACTTTTATGGTAAGACGTTGTATTAGTTAAACAAAGATGAAGTGTAATATTCGCTTTATAATGTTCAGTTATTGCTTAACTAATACAACGTCTTGTTATAAAATCTGTCTGATTTGGTGGTGGCAATGTTGAAGGTTGTGATGATGGAGTAGCTTCCTGATTCTGTAGCACGGAGAAAGATGTGGCCTGCTGTTGATGTTGAAGGATATGTTGTGGGTGGGGTTGGGCAGCGCAATTTCCAGGATTGTTTGTTGGAAATCCAGATATTATACACTGGTTGCTACCAGGAGTGGGGATAGAGGGATCAATACAAGTTGAAGGCGGGGGAGTAGCCATATTTAGTGGGACACCGACAGGACCAGGGAGTGTAGATGTATCGAGATAATGTCTGAAAAATGGAGATGAAGTAGGTCAAGACAAAAAATCTTACTGTGAGATGGTTTATAATGCACAAGAGATGTAAAACTGACGTGTTTCTGATGAACAAAAACATTTGAAAAAAGCAACGCTAGTCGCTACATCAACTTAACAGAACCACTTGAGCTCTTTATACTCGAAACCATAATCAGTATATTCAAATTGTTTCAGCCAAATTAGATAATGATAACATCCTCCTAGATAGTAATATTTTACTAGTGTTCAAGGACATTATTGACTGCACAGTAATAGAATTCTTACACAGAAAATTAGTGAAGACAAAGCCGAGTATTAATAAAGAAAAGAATATTATTATTACGTATGTACTATTTAAACTTATGTTAATTTAATGCGGTTATTTATTCACTCTGAATAAGTGGCATACATTAGGTCGCGAAACGTCAGAAATACAATTTTTCTGCTCATTAGGATTATAACAATGCTCAGTTTATTCAAAGCTATCAAGTCCAGCATTGACATTGATACATACTATATCCTTCATATTAAAGCAACTTAACGAATATTTACGAATTGATATAGTAAGCTAAGTAGTTGTGTGAAAGATAATGATCTCATTCAACTTGCTGAAACCGTTCGGAAAGAACAGGTCAATTGGAATTTATGTAATCCTGCTGAAGACTGTCAAAATAAATCACGATAATCATGATAGCCAAATAGGTGGAAAGAATTGGTTGTATTCAATAAAATATATGACTGGGGAAAATACGAATAGAACAAATGAGCAATTTTAAACTATAGGTGTTATACACATTACACATATGAATGAAGTTCTATATGGTGTTGAACATAATCAACAAAAATGATTGAGAGTACAATTGTAATATTATATGTGTATATTAAAGGTATTCAAGGGAATACTTACTTGAGTTGAGCTTTAGGCTTAAGATAATCATCGTTGCTAAGTTGAAAGACATCCGGTCGGAGATCTTTTCTATACGTACAACACTTTCGAATAAATTCCTAAAACAACAAAAAATGAAATCAGTGAATTAACAAAAAAGGAAAAAAACTTGTAAGAATACTTTAAACACAATTTATTAATGAGAAAATGTATCATGAGACAACTTCAAATACTGGGTGTAAACTTTGGTAAGACATGAGGCAAATTTTGAATCGGTCATTTGTGATAATATTGCTTGCCTAAGTACAGAATTATTTGGCGAAGTTGTACATCACTAGTGTACAAAACGCCAGATTAATGAGATAAAAAATTGTCTCGAACAATATTGTTACTCAGTCTATCTATTACCAATAAAATATCAGTGAATTTAGAAAAATAACCAAATCATAATCACTAAACTATAGGCTGTGCTTTGACTGTATTCCTGATAAAAAAAAGATGAATTGTTTTTTGTGTCCTGTATATGTTGGTCCACAGATTCAAGTTAAATCCTATGGATTGATAAATTTAACTTTGTTAACACTAATTTGAGAGATAAGAAACTCTGGTTAGTGGAGAATGATTGGTCATAGTATTTTTCCGATGGTCGCGAACAGCAGATATTGCACGGAAATTTAAGCAGATCTATCCTAATGAATGGTAATAGGTCATAATCGGAAACATCTTGTAAGTTACCAACCGCATCAAGATTTGGTTATCTAATACACAGAAAACAAACAATGAAGTAAAAGACAAGGATGAATGACTTATGTGACGTACTACTAACTGAAACGAAAGTAAGCTAAGTATGTGAATCCGACACGAGAAATTCTACAGTAAGTGAGTAAAACAGGCTTACTTTTGCGCCATCGCTAACTTTTGTAGTGGAAGGGAATACAATGGATCGTGCATGGAGAATTGTATTTTCGTGCAAAATATCAGCTTGGGACATATTATGACCGAATGGCTATATATTGGAAAAAACAAACGAAAAATGTATCTATTGCTTATATACCAGTGATACTACTTCAATATCAAAATTAAAAAGAAAAGTGGTTTTCTCATCATGGAATGGCGTGAAATGAATAAACCAGAAATCACCTGACAATTGATCCATTTTGGTTTGGGACTTCTCAGCAATGCATCATATGGGAAACAAACCTGAGGAACTTCAATTTTCGTGACAAATACGACACATTAGACGATTATCAGAACTCAACTTCGATCGACTAGCGACGTAGAGATGATTATTCAATGATATCGCTGCTATAACTGTGTTATATCGATATGATTGATCACCAATTAAACAGCAGAACTGCAAGGATTTATTCCAAGGCTTATCATTACTAGTAAATAAATGGCTATACTTAAATACGTGGTTTATGGGGTTTTAACTCAATTTTAAAACTTTTCTGTCTAGCTATCTAGTCTTTCTTAGCCTTCAACTGTTTGGCAACTGATCATTTCTTCGAGCTAGGTTATCCGATGGAAAGATAATGCTGTCACTAAAATGTAGTAGTTAGAGAAAAGGTAGGCAGTATAAATGTAAAATAACTAATTAGTTTTTAAGAACAAGAATAACTTGTTGAAAATAAGTGGGAAATTACAGAAAACTAACTTTTTTTCCAAACAAACACTGAAAGAAAATTACACCAACAGACCATATATCCACTTTTGAAGATATTTTTGGAGGTTCCCGCCCTGTCTCAAAACATTCCGGTGGTAAGTACCAATAAGTGCCTGCTCCTTGGGAGGTTAAATCCATTCCAGTCTCTGGATTGTATTTATCTTCTGTCATAAGTTTACTTAAACCAAAATCCGTGATTTTGATTTCACCAGCAACTTGGCCGGAACCCAGTAAAATATTACCTGTAATGAGTTAGTAAAGTAGTAAGTAAAATCACGGAAAATATAACCATTACGGAAATTCATCACAATGTTTCGTTTTGCCTGAGAACATTTTGATGAAAAAGATACAAATAATCATAAGCGTAGAAGGAAGCACTGTGATTTATTCTGTATTTGCGTCTCATATAAATGAAGATGTATTACTTTGAATACGTGTAACAAACAGATAAATTTCACTTGTTTATGGAAACAATGCTACACCGTCAACTCGGTGCTTAGTACTTTATACATAAAAATGTTATTCTGATGGAAGAAATACTTATTTTATTGGCTAGTTGACCTGCCTTTCGATAATAATTCATCCAGAATTAATCTGTATTTCTTTTTCTAATCTTCCCATTGACGTTTAAAGACTGTAATTGATTAGTCTCTTTTGATAGATTTAGATCCTGTTTGGACTGCCTCGATATTGACGTTTAGTCACGAGGATTTTAGAGATAGATAATAGCTAGCAGTGGAATCCGTATATAAGAGAAGATGGTAGTGAAACTAACTGCGCAATTATTTAGGAAATTAAAGTGCTTTTCAAGTCATAGCGTTTTAATATACATTACAGAACGGAAAAAATAATCATAAGGTAAGTGCAAATTTACAACTGTACATACCTGGTTTCAAGTCATAATGAATTACTGGAGGTTTACGTTCATTTAAATATTTCAAAGCAGAAACCACTTGGCATATAATCGACTTGGCTTCACGTTCCGGAATACTTTTGTTTTGCTTAAGAAAGAAATCTAAGTCATTACCTTCGCTGTATTCAAGTACAGTACAAAATCTACAGAACCAAAAATATACGAAAGAAGAGAGTCTAAGAATATGTGATGATTTCAGGAATAAACAAACTGAATGACATATTTGTATACTGAACGCGAAATGAATGAAAATCATAAGGTAATGGTCAGAGGTAGACAACAAGAAACCCTGAGCGTAGGTTTTGTGACATATGGCACTCGTTAGCAAAGTGTATCTAATGCTACCTGTAAGATTTGACCCCGTGTCACCCAGCTTTACAGTCAGAGACGTTACCACCTAGTTGTTTGGGCCATGACTGACCTGTAGGAGAGATGCAATAACCATTTGATAGATCATTGAGTAGTGACCAAGTTCATGTATCTCAAGTCCATCTTGGTGATCGGATTCTATCAACCAATTTGTAGTGTACCACTAGTCTGAGTGACTCGAGATCGTGTACATTATGTTGAGATGTAGCACAAAACCTATGTTCAGAGTTTCTTGACGACTACCTCTAACTATCACCTTGCATCTTAATATATTGCACAAGAAATCGTCACTTAGACTAGTGGCTATATCGCAACTTGATCGATAGGATCCGATCAATACTAAGAATTTGAGGTATATGAAATTGGTCACTAATCAGTGATCAATCAATTGAGAATGGAAATTATGTACATGACCCGAACTTTGAGACTACTAGTATTAATATTTTTCATAAAACCTCAGTTCTTAAGTAAAATACAGAGAGTGGATAATATTAGTTAGAACCACAGTTAAAACTTGGTCATTTAAATAAACCAGTGTGCAATTCTTATTTTATGACTATATTACTTATTAGTAATCATGGTTCATCCCCTTTATTGGTATATCATTGGTTAAATTAATTATTGACAAAGTGACTATGCTCTTTTGGTTGTAAAGTGTTTTACATGGACAGCCTTTTTTAGTTAGTCAGTCAGCTACAACGTAGGACCAGGCACATATGTGCATCGACCCAAGTTGCCATACCTCATCAGCACAACAAGATGAACACCCATCATTTTTACGTTTGACTGGTTTACAATTGACTTTTGTTTTTGTCTTATGATCTTGAATGTAAGATAAAGTCGAGCTAATTATGATTAATTATAGAACCACATATATACTTGATAAATACTTATAAATATTTCTGAGTAACCACGACAATCTTCTGACTTAAATAGACTTCGAATGTGTTATTCAAGTGAATCTCACACAGGATATATTTACACGAAAACATAACAAGACCTTCATGAAGCAGCAGTTGTGATGTATTAAAGGTGAATAAAGTGGGTATGTGGAGATGAACGTTTGCACAGAGCATATTAAGTTTAAAAATTGGCTAGAATACAATACAAAGACAGTTACCATCAACTTAGGTGTAGGATGCTGGTCAGAACAAAAGCAAGTTGGAATATGAATAAAGTGCCAATCAGTAGACACCGCGGATTTATACTATCAATAACTGGAGGTATGAATTATTTAAGAAAGTCTAGCACAAGCTACTTGAGGTCTGATGAAGAATCCCAACAGATTATTTTAGTTGATGTAAGCCAAAATTTTCAAAGTAATATCATTCCATAATTCCCTACATTTGGTTTTTTCAACGTTTTTAAATATCTTGTATACAGCAGTAATTACTATTCCACAGTCTCCATTCCATTTTCGAAATTATTTTTATATTTTTATGATCACTTATTTTGTTGCCGATTTTTTGTGTTGTAGACGGGTAGTAGTACGAGAACTTTATTTAATTTTTTTGGAAGAGCTTTTGATCCCCTTAACCGTGAAATCACAGTGATTTCAGTTGAACTGCTTTAAGCTAATACGTTCAATTTCAAATGCTTATACAAAGTAAATATTATTTTATGAAGAATATTTCAAATAGGATAATCTACACATTTATTTGAACTTTAAAATCTCATATTATATTTCCCACACCAATTATTATTTACCGACTTCATTATGAAGTCAAGCTGACTTAAGCCTTATATTGGACAAGATTCATGGTTTAGTAGGCGGTATTAATTGACAAGGTTTTCTCTATGGCATAGTGCCCATGCCAAATGTGATTGTAATCCAGTATGAGTTAATGTACACTAAACAAATTTTTGTTATCAAATTATGTGCTTTGTTTTAAATTTATTACCAACCGAGGCCCAGCATCGCAATTTAGATTGTGTGAAATAGTGACTATCAATCGAATGTAGGATACACGTTCCTCTTAGTATAAAAACGGGAAACGATAATGAATAAGCTTTCGTGTATGCAATGTTAAGATATGAAAGTTGAAAATTAAACTTACGCATCATGATCGATATCAAACACATCGAATACTTTTACTATCCTCGGATGGTGTAACGTTTTGTGAATCTCAATTTCTCTTAACGCATGTCTATAAAAAATATTCGATTATTTTCAGAAAAAGAAATTAGTTAACATCATATTACTCAAATAAAAATAAGTAACCACTGACTCTAAAATAGCTTGCGAACATTAAACGGCATAGAGAAAACCTTTAGGAATAAGCAGATAAAAAACAAGCTTGTCTATTGATAAATAGATGCGTTTGGTGTTGACGTCAAATTTCATCGCTTAAAAAATGGTATAAACAATAAAAAATACTAGATATGAAACTAAAGGTACCCCTACGTCAATAACGGCTGACTTATTAGAATTAACTAAAACAATGAAATTATAACATCGATCAGTTCATGATTTCAAATAAATTCAACAATCTCCACAACCCCATATGGACAAAAAGTGTTCTAGTTCAAGCAAAATAATATTAGAGGAGACAGAAATGTAAAATACGGAATACTTGGACTATATTGACGATCGTTAGAAAGATCACGCGATAAACCAGAGCCAAGAAAGACATGAAAATTCACATTATATATATATATATATATATATATATATATATATATATATATATATATATATATATATATATATATATATATAAGTCGGTCAAGCTTCGAGCCACAGTGTTTTTCACAACTCTGCTAAAAACGGTTGATTCAAAAATCGAAAAGTAGAAAATGTTTCGGAAAAGGAAAAACACGACATTTTGTTGAAATACTCGATGTTATTAGATAACAAAGACCGGGATACTACTTACGCCTGTTACTCCCAATGGAGTATAGGCTGCCGACCAGCATTCTCCATCCCACTCTGTCCTGGGCCTTCCTTTCTAGTTCGATCCAATTGTTGTTCATTCTTCTCATGTCTGTTTCCATTTCTCGGCGTAATGTGTTCTTTGGTCTTCCACTTTTCCTTCGACCTTGAGGACTCCAATTGAGGGCTCGACTTGTGACACAGTTGGGTGCTTTCCTCAATATGTGTCCTATCCACTTCCAGCTCTTCTTCCTGATGTCTCCGTCTGCTGAAATCTGGTTTGTTCTCTCCCACAGTAGGTTGTTGCTGATAGCGTCTGGCCAACGGACCCGAAGTATTTTGCTTAGACAACTGTTAATAAACACTTGTATCTTCTGGACGATGGCTTTCGTAGTTCTCCAGGTTTCTGCCCCATACAGTAGAACTGTCTTGACATTGGTATTGAAAATCCTGACCTTGGTGTTGGTTGGAAGACAGTTGCTTTGAGTTCCAGATGTTCCTCAGTTGTAAATATGTTGCTCTTGCTTTGCCGATCCGCGCCTTCACATCTTCATCGGATCCACTGTGTTCATCTATGATACTGCCCAGATGTGTAAAGGATTTTACATCATTCAAAGCTTCTCCATCAAGTGTGATTCGATTGGTGCATGCTGTGTTGTATCGGAGAATCCTGCTTTTCCCTTTGTGTATATTGAGACCTACTGCTGCTGAGGCTGCTGCTACACTGGTCGTCTTCTGCATTTGTTGTTGCGTTTGAGATAGGAGGGCCAGTTCATCTGCGAAGTCTAGATCGTCAAACTGCATCCTAGATGTCCATTGTACCCCGTGCTTCCCTTCAGATGTTGATGTCTTCATGATCCATTCGATTACCAGGAGAAAGAGAAAGGATGAGAGTAAGCAACTTTGCCTAACACCGGTCTTCACTTCGAACGACTTTGTCAAATGTCCTCCATGCACGATTTTGCAGTGTAATTCATCATATGAACTCTGTATGATATTGACTATCTTCTGAGGTACGCCGTAGTGTCGAAGAAGTTTCCATAGTGTTGTTCTGTCCACGCTATCAAATGCTTTTTCGTAGTCAATGAAGTTGATGTAGAGTGATGAATTCCATTCAATTGATTGTTCAACAATGATCCGTAGAGTTGCGATTTGGTCTGTACACGATCTATCCTTACGGAATCCTGCGTGTTAGTCACGAAGTTGGGCGTCTACGCAGTCCTTCATCCTGTTTAACAATACCCTGTTGAAGACTTTTCCCGGTATTGAGAGAAGAGTGATGACCCTGTAGTTATCACAGTTGCTGAGATCGCCTTTCTTCGGTATTTTGATCAGGAGTCTTTCTTTCCAGTCTGTTGGTGCTTGTTCCTCATCCCAAATCTTATTGAAGAGAATGTGGAGTATCCTTGCAGTTACCGGTACGTCTGCTTTCAGTGCCTCTGCTGGAATGTTGTCTGCTCCTGCTGCTTTGCCACTCTTGATTTACCTGATGGCCATGCTGATTTCTTCAATTGTTGGTAGATCAACATTGATTGGGAGGTCCGTGGGTGCTGCTTCGATGTTGGGTGGGTTCAGTGGAGCTGGTCGATTCAAGAGTTCTTTGAAGTGTTCTACCCACCTGTTTTGTTGCTCCTCAATGTTGGTGATTACCTCGCCTTCCTTGCTTTTCACTGGTTGTTCTGGTTTGCGGCAATTTCCAGAAAGTTTCTTTGTCGTGTCATACAGTTGTCTCATGTTTCCTTCTCTTGCAGCCTTTCCCGCCATCGTTGCTAAATCTTCCACATATTTACGTTTGTCGGTTCTGATGCTCCTCTTCACTTGTTTGTTCACTTCTGTGTTTTTTCTGCTCTTGTTCGACTGGTATTGATTGCTGCTTTCTTGTTTCTTCTTTCTTGAATCTTATCCAGTGTATCAACAGTGATCCATTCCTTGTGGTGGTGCTTCTTGTGACCCAGGACCTCATGACATGTTGAAGTGATTGCCTCTTTGATCCCCTTCCAGTTGCTCTCCACAGTAGTTCCTTCTCCATTGAGTAGATCATGAAAGGCCTGGAATCTATTGCTGAGGCCTATCTTGAATTTGTTGAGTTTGTTAGTATCCTGGAGAAAGGCCGTATTGAACTTTTGTGATACTGTCTGCCCCGTTGTACAGTGCTTCTTGAGTTTCAATTTCATCTTGGCGACCAGTAAGTGATGATCTGATGCTATATCAGCTCCTCTCTTGGTTCTCACGTCCTCTATAGTCCTCCTGAACGTTTTGTTGATGCAAATATGGTCGATTTGGTTTTGTGTAGAGTGATCCGGTGAAGTCCATGTGGTTTTGTGTATGCGTTTATGTGGGAATATGGTGCCGCCTATGACCAGCTTATTGAAGGCACATAGATTTGCAAATCTCTCACCATTTTCGTTTCTTTCTCCCAGTCCGTGTCGTCCCATGATGTCTTCATATCCAGTGTTGTCCGTTCCAACCTTGGCGTTGAAATCTCCCATCAGAATGGTCAGGTCCTTTGTTGGGCACTTCTCGACGATTGACTGCAGCCTATTGTAGAATTGATCTTTAGCGTCTTCATTGTGGTCGTTGGTAGGCGCATAGCATTGGATGATGTTCATTGAAATGCCCTCTTTCTTTGTTTTGAAGGAGGCTTTGATGATCCTTGGTCCATGAGATCCCCATCCTATAAGTGCATTTTGTGCTTGTTTGGACAGCATCAATGCAACTCCTTGTGTATGTGGAGCATTTTCTTCTTCATGGCCGGAGTATAACAGACCAGAATATTACTATTTTAATATTAAAATGTCCATGTTGACGATGTGAGAAATTCTGTTTACAATAATCGAGATACATAGATATACTATAATACCATACTAAGCCTTCAGTAAAATTTTTACATGAAAACGATTAACTAGAACTTAAAACGTTCTTGGATCACGATTTGTGAGTTGGAATTTTCATAATTATTTCTACCATAAACTATTTTGATGTCATGAGCAGCAATGAAAATGGAGAGTAAAAAGACCATTACCACTGAGAATCTTAGCACTAGTCAAAGGAACTGGAGGTAGATCTAATGATCAACAAAATATTGTGAACGATACAATGAGAAACCAGATAAACAACCTAACTAGTACTGTTATCAAGGTGTGAAATACTTTTCCCACTGACAAGAGTAGATCCATTTGATATAACATAAACTGTCGTCAAATATCTATATGAACACCATTTCTAACGCATTTTGGGAATACAAAAATCATAGTCATTATTAATTCACTTGGTACTGTTTTACTTGAATCTTCTCATTGTTGTTTAGGACTGCAATTAATCAGTCTCCTATTGGCATGTGTGCATACTGCGCATATTGCCTCGATATTGCCTTAATTTGCAAGTATTATAAGCAAAGATGGCTAGCAGTGGAATCCAGGACGCGCGTTTCGTCCTATTTGGGATTCGTCAGCTGGATGCACCTGCACCTCAGAGTCGATGTTCACTCTGGGACTCGGAACCAGTAACGTTCGCATCAAACGCCATCGCGTTATCCACTTAGCTACTGAGTCCTGATAGTCATTATTGTTGAGAAACACGTTTGTGATTATTGCAGAAAATGAGTTCGAATTATTATTTTTTGTTCGTATTCATCAGGAAATTCTTACTTAACTTTGAAACATGTGAATGTTCGAGTTCAATGATACTTTAGTCCCAAAAAGAATAATGATTGATTTAATTTCCATAACATGCTATGTCAACTAGCCTGATCGATCTTTTAAAATGGATTTCAGCTGAACTGAATCAACTGTATGATTAAATCAATTCTATGATTCATTAGTTCAAATCTAAACGACAGAGTACTAAACGTTTCTACAGGATTTTTAAATTTCTTACAGGACTCATAAGCCTGGTAATAAATAAAAGTCATAATATTGTCTATCTACCAAGTACTAATTCATGTGAATGACTTTGTGGGAGTTTAGGTGCGAAAGTAAACAATAATATTCATCTGTATAAACTGATGTGGGCGAGGTGGAGTCGAAGTATTCAGTTCACTAGTTAAGACTTGAGTGTTTTATACATTAAGCAACCGTACTCTAATAGGATTGGGAAAATTACGGGGCAGTGTGTAGATAAATATAATTACACAACTTTTTCTAATGAACCCGGCGCACAACAAGCCAACATAGATACACGGACACTATATATATATATATATATATATATATATATATATATATATATATATATATTCACTTACTTAATGTAGTTATCTTTTTTATCTTTAGGCCAAGAAGGATTAAGCTGATGAATTTTACAAGCAACATATCGATTAGCTACGAGATCAAAACCCTGAGCAAACAAAAAAAAACGAGAAAACAAAACATTTGAGAATATTTAAAGAAATATTATATGAAATAAATTGATAGAAATTATTTTATCATCATAATTGGTATGACACTGAAGCGCTCCAGATAACAAATAGTTATCAGCCGAATTTATTTCGGTGTATATGGTAGTATTAGTTAAATGCTGCTACAACGAAATGGTGTGAATGGGTTACACCTTGATAATTAATGGTAACTTTACTAGTACTTCCAGTGGGTTGAAGAATATGCATTGAGATGTAGCCTATGTTTAATCAACTTATTTATTAAGTATAGGTTTAATGTACTTTATTGTGAATAGTATTGTACGTAACAGTGCCAGTGAATGACGTTGGAGAAGCGGTTTTTGTCTCAAAATATTTTTGATCAAAATTTGTTGGATCGGTATCTTTTTATAGTTACTAGATAGTCTTCAAGACCCAGTCAAACACTGGTACTGTAATCACCATTGGTTATGGTAATCAGTACATTTATACGAAATGTATCCATTTTGATTTATCTTGTAGTGGTTGGATACAGTATCAAATTAGAACAAATTAAATACGGTAAGCGAAAAAACAGTACCTAATAAATAGTTTACTTACTATGTTTCAGTTATCTAGCTTGTAAGATGGACAAATGGAGAACAAATAATTTTATTATACTCATTACTTTTATTAGTCTACTGAATACTATTTTATATAAACACAGTGAAAATGAAAAGCCGGTTGGATAGACATTATACAGAAGGTAAGATTTAGACACAAGCTGCTATAATTCACATCAGCAGAGGAGAGTGAAAAACAACTAAATAGGCCACAATGCATCGAGATAACATTAAAATGAGCTTTAACGACATACATGACGCGCACTTCGAAATTATGCATTATACGTTTCCATCAGGATTGGATGCAGTTTCAATTTTAAGACTTATACAAAGTGATAGCCAACTCAATCGGTATTAATCAACGTATAGACCAATTTATCATGTGACATTAGCATGACAAGATGAAATAAACAAAACGAATGGCGGAGTTGAAATAATGCAGTGGCAATGGGAATTGAAATTACCACGCATTGAGATAGTTAGATTTTAGTTATTTGAACAAATAAATATAGGTACAAAGGGGCACCGAATACATATGGGCAACACAAGTCACATGGTTTGTGCGTGGGCTATGATGCTGTTCGGGGGCCCAAACCGAAGCAGGTGGTTTTCTTAGGGGGTCACACCCGGAGCCATTCGACTTAAAAGTCTGATCCACAAGGCAGTGGAGCAAAATCAGGAGATGCAGTCCCATGGTAGCCGGTGAAAGCACCGGACATTCGCTTTCCGTCCTCTCAATTTCGTAAACAACACCCCCGTCACGAGAAGGCATTGAGTAGGACTTCCCTGGCAGTGGCTGTATACGCGGGCCATGTGAGAGCATTTCGAGAGGGAGAGTTGACTCTCCCCACCCTCGGCCGTACCAGGGCATTTGGGGGCCTGGTTGGAGAAGACGGAGTGAAAATGTATATAAAGGGAAATATTGGGACTCAAGACCTAACGGAAGATAGAGTGAATGCAAATATGATTGATTCGGAGTCATACCATCAAACATCAATGCTGAGATTAAGTATAGAGTAATAGCTAAAGGGGATAAACCGGTTGACGAGGTTATAAATATTCATTGGCTGTAGATCTTGATTTCCACTATTCCTCCAAAAATACCTTTTCACTCTGCCTTTTTGAACAATATTCCAAATGTTCAGTCTTTTTCACCATCATCATCATCGTTATCGGATTATTTAGACCCCTTTTGTTGTTTTATGTTGTAGTGTTAATATGATGTGGCAAGTTGGCAAATGCACATATCACGTATCTACGTTGATGATGAATGACGCTCACTGTCTCCAACTACTGATTGCGGTTATCGTGCGGACCCTAACCAAGTAGTCTGCATCTAACAACATGAACCATTTCGACAGCCAACGATTTCATAGATAGGTGATGGCTAATCATAGGTAACACACGGTGTTAGACACTTTAGTTTACTCTTCCACGACTGAATTGCCTGGGATGTACGTCACATATACTTAGCCACTACACTCCTCGACACAATTCTGGCTGGTCAGTCAGTCAGCTACAACGTAGGATCAGGCACATATATGCATCGTTCCAAGTTGCCATACCTCATCAACACAACAAGATGGACGCCGGACTCATAAAAGTAGTTAATTCAGAGGTGGTAATATATAAAAGGAAGACTGCGATAAGGATATAGTACAGGAAGAAAGAATTAGTTCGTAGAAAGAAAGATATGAAGCGATTTTAATCTCTTAGTGCAATCGACCTTGAGGAAACCCATTGGTTCATTCTGGCTGGTGCAGGAGTATGTTAGAAAAAGGTGACCATGAACTAGAAGTAAACAATGTCTATGTCTAGTTTTTTATTGATCATATTACGTTTATGATGAAAACGGACTACTTTATGGAAGCAAGCGAAAGTGAAGTCTAAGAATGAACAACCAACCTTGTGAACTTCCGAGAATCCACCTTTGCCCAGTAAATTAAGCAAAAGATATCGTTCATTCAGTAATGGATGATCTTTAAAACGAGATGCATCTTCATTAGAAATTCGTTTAATTTCTCGAATATGCAAATTTCTTTCTCGATCTAATCGCTCTAATTCCATTTGAATTTCTTTATCTTCTTTAACAAGCATCTGTTTACGTAAATCATAAATTTCTAATTGTTCATAAAATTCATCCACGGAGACTCTGGAGAGAAAGAAAACAGTAATAACAATTATTATCCAATCATTTTTTATTCATAATTTGGAAATTCTCAATATACAAGATATAGGATAAAAATTAGAGTATGACAACAGTACAAACTGATTGATTTATAAGCATGAAAAGGTACCAATTTTGAGGATCAAAGTTCAAAAATAGGAACACGCTTGAGTGGCAACTTAAGCTAATCCATGAAAATGTCTACGAATGATTCACCACTAAGAAAGTGTGAATTATGCCCTATCAAAACAACTGACTTCCAACCAATAGATCCCAGGTTCAAACACATCCTTACCTACGTACGCTATGGCAGCTTGGTAATATCACTAAATGTAATAAAACTAAAGTGAGGTTCAAAGCCAATTACATAAACCAGTACTTAGTAGATGAGTTACGTGATAAAAACGTATGGCTGAAATAAAAACACATAGTACCTATGTGATGAACCTGACAAATGTTTATTATGCTTAACCACTGCCTATTTAATATTAAGCAGTGTTAAACCCCAGAATTCACTTCTGCAATTTTATTTTGGAAATTTGAATTTCTTGTTTCCGCTTCAAAAACGCCCATTTTCACCTTCATGTCGTATTTCCTACTTGGGAGAACTTTAAATGTCATTGGTCAGTTGTTTCTCTTAATATGTGATTTTGTAACGTTTCCCAAGGACATTTTTATGCTGTGTATATACTCTTGAATTGTCCTTGTGGTTGTTGTCCGTGCTTCTGGCTGCTTGTGGAATACATTTCCTTCTCTCAACACGAAAGTATCATTCTGGTTAGCGGGGCTGGGATGCATCGGAATAGTTAGCTTATTTGGTCACTGTGTTAGAGTCTTCGTTCAGTTCGCAGATTAGGTGAACTCGTAATCTCTAGAAACATAGCAACGGGAGAACAATTTCTGAAGACTTTCGACTGACAATTTGAAAATAAACCATGAATTGTAAGCATTCTGAATGGTGTTAGTTGGACAATGGAAATCGGTAATAGGAGAAACAAAGTAGGATTATTCGCCCATAATTGATTACAATATTTTGATGCATGTTTTTCTTTAAGCTTTTGCGAAACGTATATATCATATTGTCTCATTGATTTTTCCTACTATTCAAAAATGTTTTTCACATCTAGTGCTTAAGATTTGGTGATATTATTACGGACCATCTTGAGTCAATAATTTTATATAGCATTATCTAACTTATTACTGAAATATCAAGAGTCACAAACACCGGAAGTCCATTTCCACCAGTTAAGACGTCTTTGGTTAGGATAGTATAATTAGTACACATAAAACTTTACACAAGAAAAAATAAACTTTAACTTACTCATCGTATTTAGATTTAGTACTCTTTTTAGCATCCCCAACATTTGGTTTACGCTTGTTCCATTGTTTCTTTTTACGTTCAATCTCTTCACGAACAAGTTCAATATTCTTACGGCGCCTAAAGAAATAAACAGGAAAATAGAAAAGTTTGAAATTAGTAGAATGACATTATTGTGTGAACCCACAAATACCGAGGGTGGGAGAGTTAACTCTCCCTCTCGAAATGCTCTCACATGGCCCGCGTATACAGCCACTGCCAGGGAAGTCCTACTCAATGCCTTCTCGTGACGGGGGTGTTGTTTACGAAATTGAGAGGACGGAAAGCGAATGTCCGGTGCTTTCACCGGCTCGGTGGACACGAAGAGTCCACCTAAGAGAATTGTAAAACCCTGATTCCAAACCAATGATGCACATGGGCTCCATGATTCTGAAGAAGCAAACGGCGTATGAACCTATTGTTGGTCACCGGCTACCATGGGACTGCATCTCCTGATTTTGCTCCACTGCCTTGTGGATCAGACTTTTAAGTCGAATGGCTCCGGATGTGACCCCCTAAGAAAACCACCTGCTTCGGTTTGGATGCCCGGGTAGTGTCACTGCCCTCACCCAAATCAATGATAACTGCTACTGGCCTCGTCATTGTGTGGCGTATCTGTATTCGGTGCCCCCTTGAACCAATGTTTATATGTTCAAATAAATAAAATGTTATCATTGTTATTATTATGAGCGTTACAAACCATACCAATTTTACAATAAGTATTCTTAAAACGATACTTATCAAACAGATTTCGTGGTCAAAATTTAATCTTAAAACAAGGACGAAATAAATAAACGAGACAACTTACTTATATGGTAAAATCTTATGTACTCAAGTTTGAGTCACACTATTTATGTATAAAGACCATTAATGCTAATATAGTTGCCTAATTCGAAGTACGGACAGATGAGTTACCCTACCTAATAAAAAATACTTTACTCGTCTATAATCCGTACTTATGCTTCACTTCCCAATGATTTTGAGTTTTTAACAAAAGATTAGTCAGATATCCAAAAATTTCGTTGCAATCAATTACGATAACAAGGAACAGCTAAAAAACAAGGGAACTAGGCAAACATAAGTATTGACAACTAATTTCTGAATTTTATACATGATAGTAAGTAAAGGGAACTTACTGATCTAATTCCTTAAATCTCGAACCTTCGATCCATTTCTCTTCAAAATGAGCACCCTGTCTTTGGGTGATAAATTGACCTAACCGTAAACGGTTTTCCATAACTTTTTGACGTGTAGTCTTTCTTTCGAGTAAACTCTGAAAGCACGTTATACAATCAGAAATTCATTAGAATAAAGAAAATACATTGGTAAATAAATGACCAACGATAGCATTATTTGACGTAATACTGAGCAGGTTAATAATCAAATATTGTTATGCGCATTGCAGTCAGACAGAATATTTAAGAAAATAATTAAATAACTTACTTTTTCAATCAGCAATTCGCGTATCATTTCGCGGGAACGAATGGCATTATCTTGTAATTTTGTGATGGTCTCTCGTTGAACAACAGTTTCGTGTTCTAAATCAGCTATTCGACGCTGAAGACTCTCAACTGAAGTTAGTGGAACAGATGAAGCAGGTCCACCGGTTGTAACTAAGGGAGGATTATTATGCAAAGTTGTGATGTTTGTGCATTGTGAACCTTCCACACATTCGGCAGTTGGCGGTGGAGTGACAGTTTCATCTGTTTGCACCCCGACATGAGATCTGAAGTTGTTTGTGGGTGACCCAGAAACGGCTGGAACATTTGATGTCATGGGATTATTAGGACAGGATCCAGAGCTTAGATAACCAACACTAGGTTGTCCAACTTGAGGATATGATGAATTAAGATTAGCAGGTAGCTGAAGGTTAGAATAAGTAGGCAATGGATTAGCATTGCAGGGTATTGTACAAGAAGTTGGATTCGCGTTTACATTCGCAACCATACTTAACCCAATCATCGATACAGGATTATCACCGGAGCTATCACTTAAACTTGCTGTACTGCTGGCACGGACAGGTGACAACTGGAAAGTAGCTGCATTATTTGCATACTGAATTCCTGTTACTGACGTAATAATCATTTGATCGTTGCTTGCGCAGCTCGTAGTCACAGCTTCATTTAGCGACGGGATGTAATTATGGTTTACTCCAACCATTTGATTATCAAGAGAATGGGCACCTGTAGGAGACTAAAAAGGGGAAACGGTACACAATTAAAACAAAAGCTGTAAGGATAAACTCCTATTCCTACTCACGAAAAAATTCTCCCATAGTTTCTAGTACGAAATAGCCCTAAATAAGATTATCGTTAGCAGTATTAGTCTTCCATATGGTGCTAGTCACATATTCCTCGTACATGAATGTATTATCCTGGTTACCTGTTAATTATGTGTAAATCTCATTAGTTATCGTTTCTACAGAATAGTTATCTTTGTAACGTAACCAGATATTGTTTCACCCATTATCTGCAACCTGCCAACCGCGTTATTGGTTTAGGTACTGAGACTACTGTATGACATGAAAACTAGCAGTCCCATTGGACCTACCACTGACATCACGAACAAATCAGAGCTACACAAAAATTGAAAAACCTTGTAGTGTTGGACGGAAGCTCCACTCTATTATGAGACTCTTCAGCAGCAATCGTAATCAGTAGAGTTCATCCATGTTGTGTGTGCTGAGAATACCTACTCAGGAGAATTTTCAAAACAACCCTGCACTATCGTGGATGCGCTTCTCTCCCTCGAAATGCAAGTTGTTGCTTCAGGACTGGTCTGCATCAACACCTAAACTAAGGATAGGGAGTGAAGTAGTCGAACGCGTTGACAACTTCACTTATCTTGGAAGTCTGATCAGCCCTAATGGGTTGGTGTCTGACGAAATCTCAGCACGGATTCGAAAAGCTCGCTTGGCTTTTGCCAACTTACGTCACCTTTGGCGAAGGCGAGATATCCGTCTATCAATAAAAGGACGAGTATACTGCGCGGCAGTCCGTTCTGTCTTACTTTACGGCAGCGAAACATGGCCTTTAAGAGTAGAAGACACCCGTAAGCTACAAGTATTTGACCACAGATGCCTTAGAAATATTGCTGGCATCTGCTGGGATCACCGGGTAAGTAATAGTGAGGTTAGACGCAGGGTATTAGGTAACGATGGTAAATCAGTTGATGAGGTTGTGAATCTTCATCGACTGAGATGGTTGGGCCACGTATTACGTATGCCTGAACACCGATTACCACGACGTGCAATGCTAACCGGTGTAGGGGATGGTTGGAAGAAAGTTAGGGGCGGCCAAACCCAAACGTGGCATCAGTGCCTGAAGTCACTAACTTCCAGTCTGAGCCATGTTGGTAGATGCAGACTACGTGGTTGGGGTCCGCGTGACTTTCGTAACCAATGGTTGGAGACTCTTGGTGACATGGCTCAGAATCGATCACAATGGCGTCGGTGTATACACTCCCTGTCTTCCCTTAAACTAAGAGATTAAAATCACTTCATATCTTTCTTTCTACGAACTAATTCTTCCTTCCTATACTATATCCTTATTGCAACCTTTGACCTAACCACTCCTATGAATCCGGTGTTCATCTTGTTGTGCTAATGAGGTGTGGCAACCTGGACCGATGCACATATGTGCCTGGTCCTACGTTGTAGCTGACTGACTGACCACGCCAAGGTAGGTAGAGTTGAACTTGGGATCGTTTAATTGATTAATAACAATGTATTTTTTACTGTCAGTGAACTTGATGGGGATTGCGGAGATTGTTGGGTTTTATTAAAATCACGAACCGATCTAAGTTAGACAACCATCGGAAACCTGGAAGCCCTGGATTATTTGACAAATTGTCACATGAATGATTAATGAAGTTCATCTCAAAATTTGCAGATTCCCGGAACTTGGCCTATCTAAACGTAGTAAGAAAAGGTGCTATTTGTTTTGCTTATGGACAGTAAGCTTGTTAGCCGAGTAGCATTCACTAGCTCCCACACAAATTTTAACTCAAAGCCTAGCATACGAATATATACCGAGTTAGATCCAAGGATTTATTTACCTGGTGTTCCAACAGAGTAAACATACATGTATTATTTTGGCTATCGAATACAGAGATTACAAAAACATTTAATTAGCGAGACCTGTTGAGGTATAATAATATCGGAAACATGGACATTTGAGTTGTTATATCACTTATTCTGAAACTATCTATATCATATGATTCGAGAATTTTTAGTAGAAACAATCCAAGACAAGTATTTACGTGATAAATCTAGATGAAAATTGTTCATTTTAGCATTGTTAGTAAGAGATGAAACAGATAATTCCAAAACCTAGCTGATCCAATACTGCTACATATTATTTAGAGATCTGGACACAGTGAATATAAGATGTAGACTTACAGGACTCTGTAGACGAGGATTTTGTGTCGGACTGGTTGAACCACAGGATGTATATAATGGCCCAGGCATGAACTGAATGAGAAAAGATGAGTGAAGATAAGCTATGATTAAACTCTTGAATTCTCGAGATACATATATTTAAGAAAAATGGATTCTGGTGGGACAATTATAGCATACAACATTTAGACCAAAACAACAGCCTACAATAACAAAATCAGTGAGTCGAGCGACAGATACGATGCACACATTATGAGTAGGTCAAAATCTTTGACATGTTATCTGTTCATTGATTAAAACAAATTCGATCCAGGACTTCCAATAAACCTATAAAATTACCTGGCAGATATTGATGTTAATTCACCTGTAATTTCCTGAATCTACGATTTTTAGGGTTCTTCTAATGACCTAATTATTACAAAACTGATTTGATGAAAGTCTAGAGAGTGAACGGCATATTTTAGGAGGAGGAAAATGCACAACTCACTTTAAAGATTTCATCGATACGCTTTGAACCACGTTCTTGGCAAACCATTTTTTTAGGTTTCGGTGTATGACCTTCATCAGAACTCACTAACTTTCGCCGTTTCTTTGTGCCATTTCGGGATGGCAACGAATCACCCTGTCCACCAGGAGTTGGAGTATGTGATCCTATCGAAGGAGATAAGTGGTATGTAGGATTGTTTGTTTCGATAAATGCTGCAGATGGTTGGACGGAAATTTGGAATGTGGGATACGGAGCATTTTTTTCCTCTACAAATGTATAGGGTTGTTTCACAGGACTGTTGCCCGCAACAGTGGTTGGGGTGTGAATAGAGTTCGACCTTGAAACATACTGCAGGCCTTGGGGCGAACCAAGAGGATTTGCTGGGATACCAGGAGCCAAAGCTTCTATCAACTTATCGTCCGATTTTACGAGGGAAGTAAGAAGACCGTCATTTGATGTGTTGTCAGACTCTCCTACAGAACTTGAAGGGATTCTCTTTTTTTTTGGAGTCGTAGGTGAAGTCACATAATCTTCTTGCGTCTGAACGTAGATCTGAGAATCTTGAACATTAAGACCCGGACTAGTGACCTCCAGTCGATGAATGTTATGGCAATTTGGGTTATGCAACTTTTTGCCTGGATCTGTAGCACTCGGAATTCTTTCATTGATTTCAACTGATATCGAAGGAACTACTGTGGAAACCGGCTTAATCTCACTGCTACTAGTACTTAGGTCATGTTCACCGACTGAACTGAATGGACTGGAAGAACCACGTAAAACTGAGTGTTCTGGAGTGCGGGAAGGTTCTTCTGCTATTGGAAACATATATCCAGAAGCATATGAATTAGACTTTGTGGAGCGAGGCACATTATTGGTTGACCTTATATGGTTAGTTCCCTGAATTCTAGCTTCCAGAAGTTCGTGTTTACGTGGATCTACATGAAGAGGCATAGCAAAGGTACCTTAAAGTGGAAAATAAAACGAAGTTACTTCGTTAGTCTACATAAGTGGAACAGGATTTAGAAAAAGAAAAATATCCATTACGGTGAAGAAAATCTCATTCTTAACCAACATCTATAATATCCCTTCCCAGATAAAGAAATAGTAAAAAAATTGCCATTATAACAAAATTAAGCTATTGAGGTATGTAGTAACTAGTCTCAGCTGTATTTTATAGGTTCAGACAGGGTAATGGATATGGGTAATAGTTCACTTACCAAAGTTCGGAAGGATTTACAGCATTATAAACCTTCAAATTAAAACTGAATACAACTGAGTTATAATAATTAACATCACGTGTGAACAATTGTATGACAATTTCGATGACTCCCAAAGTGTGGAATATCTGTAGCTAAAGACGAATCCTAGATATATAAAACTAGATACCAATGAGATAAATAGATTCTTAAAAATCAATCTTATTCGTTTAGTACTTCATATCTTGATTTCGGTAAATTATTATTAATCTATTTAATATTATATTTTCGGTAAAATATGGAGTTCATACTACTTTATCTGCATTTTCAACATTGCTGATGAGCATAGCAAATAAAATGAATGGATTAACAACAGTGATTTCATTTTTACCTACCTGAAGTACCAAATGCCAGTGGAATTAATATGGAACATATTTATTAGATTAAGAATACATAGGCATTAGATTCACTAGTATTTCATCAGACGAATGACCTATTACTCAGAAAGGATCTTGATATTTGGAGGGAACAAAGGCCAAACTTTATACTACATGGGCTTAAAAACACTAATGTATTAAGCAATCGTAAAGTAATTAATATCATTAATTTACTATGTGCAAATTTGTATAAGCAGCTTTGAGTCATACTTTATAAGGCTCGTGATACCGCCCGGCTGCCCAAACTGTAGTAGGTAGGGTAGGGTTCAAGGCTGATTAGAAACGTTACTTCAGTAAGGGAGTGAGAGAAATTACATTTCAAATCGAACTATCTTCGAAAACGATGATAATACTAGTACGATCTGGTTAATTGTATTAGATTCCTTAACTTTGCGAAGCATGAACTTCGTTCAGGTCATTTTTAATACTAAGGTAAACTACTTTGGGAATTTTGAAGGGAAACGACACGATTCTGAGCAAGTTTACGAATACCCTAGTCGAATTTTTCCCGAAGGAAACACTTCTTAGAAGCGATTTGGCGGAAAATTTCACCGTATTAAACTAGATCTACCGAGTGGTACTGTGAAATCCTAGACTATAATAACACTAAGCTAACTTCGCCTGAAGCCCCTTCAGGATTACTGACAGTCCCAAGTCAGGATAAAGGAAGTTGGGAGTAGGGTTAGAAACCCCATATCGTAAAAAGAACTTTGATGCAAAAAAGCTAACCACAGAAAACCAATTAAGCCGATTAGACTACTGAGTACGTCACGCCACGGAAATCGACGTGCATCACAAAGTAAGCTCTGATTTGTAATTAAGACAAAAGGAAAAGAGGCAGATCAAAAACATATCACTGAAAAGTGAGAGCGGTCATCAAAAGAATGGGATGAACTTTGAAACTCCATGTAAGTATGGTCTTCTTATTACACTGTTCTTTCTATTATGAATACATGTAACTTTTCAGTTAACACTTTAGAGATTGTAACTTCTACGTATTTTGAAGCTATTCAATATCAACTAGTCAGGGGCTTTCTACGGCCAACTATATACTGAATTTTTTATAAATCTAGGTAATATTTAACCAGATTCAGACTAATGGTGTTATAATCACTGGACGAGTCAAGAAGTGGAGCTTCACAATAGTTAGGGTGTGACAAGAAACGATGTCGTATGCAGCTTGAAACCTGTACAAATTGACCAACGAGGTACTAGGTAATGAGACTTTTCAGACTATTGTGGTCAATAACATTCTTGATGCAACTTTGATAAGAGTATATAGTGGTGGTGAGGATGTTAACCGGAGAAACAGTTCGATCTTGAGTATCTGGATGATATTGTCTTGCAGTGCGGTGATATTTGAGCCATGCAAGTGACAATTAATCAGTGTCCTAAATACGGAATTTACTTTGAACCTTCTAAATGCAAAGTGGCTTCATAGGATTGGCAAGAGCTTGTACCGGCACTCATTCTTTATGAGTTGTGAGAAATAATCTAAAGGTCAGCGTATCTGTGTGAGTGCTGCTGGAAGTGTGACTGGTGGGGTCAGTCTACGTATGGTGAAAGCTAGAGCGATTTATGCTAATTCAAACTATCTTTGGTACTTGCGATGTTAGTTTGGATGTAGAAGGTTGGGTTTACGATGTGTTTGTAAGAACAGCACTGCTCTGTGTTTGTGAGACCTGGCCTCTACTAGTTGAGTATGTTAGATGACCGCGTTTGGTTATCGCTGTCTTTGAAGGACTGTTGACAACACTGTTAGCAATTCAAATGTTTAGTAATGTGTTCGGACAGTGGTGATAACTCGATTAGTGTCGCCATCTTGTGGGTGTAATCTCTAAATACAACTTATGAGAGAGAAAATCGACACCGATTAAGATTATTTCCCGTTACACTAAAAAAGTCTGAAATCTGCTTAAGGCCTTTTAATACATTTTTACTATGATTTTTATTTGATGACAAATACTTAGTTCATAAATTCTAATCATTATAATTCGCACATAATCAACTGATCCAAATGTACTTTTCATTGATATACTAATCATCACCAAAAAGCTTATTGCTAAAATTATCTTTCTACTCTAATTAACGACGAAGACAATATTCAGCAGGACGCAAGGTAAAACCTGGCACATATATAGATCGATTGAGGTCCTAGATACGCTCCTGCTTCGATTTGGGAACCCGGGCAGTATCACAGCCCTCGCACAAATCAAGTGAGATTTGTGTGGCGCATATGTATTTGGTGCCTCCTTGTACCAATATCTATATGTTCAAATAAATAATAAATAAATCCTAGATAAGCTGCAACTTAGTGCATGAGAAGTCATAAGGAATGACTCTGAAGAGAAGCTAATGGAAGTCCTTTCGAAGATAATTTTTACATCCTCCACGAGTCAGAGGAACTCCAAGTGAAAGAACTGTTTTCGGCCATAGTTTTTAAAACGAAATGTCACTTTGGTGAAACTATAATTTATGGACGACATTTGAGTTACGCTATAGTGGCCTTGAGTGTGTCCACCTACTTTGTAAGGCTAAATGAGAGTTATAAACCTGTGTGAAGAATAAGGATTATGATTTATAGTTGATGGTCAGGGTTGTGGATTCGTTTTAAAATCTTCACGAACTGACATCATAACCAAACAGATGAATGAATTTTGCACCAAGATCCAAGACATGTTATCTTATTTCTTATTGGTTCGTCCATAAACTATAGTTTTGCTTCATTTTCTTATTTGAGTGCAGCATATTTATCTGGTGCTCATTTGTACCAGATTTTAGATAAAATAAAAAGATGGAGGCGAGATCATTGGGAACTTTAAAGTGAATTACTACGTTAAGCTATAACCTGTATGAACAATGTACTCTGGTGATGGTGATAACCGCCTTAAAAGCAGAAATTTGCAGTTTTAGGTTTCAAGAGATCTCGGCAATAGGATTCCAAAAACCCACTGTTTCGCGAACACCTAAGTAACTGCACATGAGTGGCAATTCCTAAAGATGGGTATCTACGTCAATTTTTCTGCATATGTGTCAACAGTTAGATACTTTAGCCTTCGAAAACAAATTCGGAGATAGCTCTAGTTTCCACTTAGTGTATAAATTATTCATGTAATATTTGGCCGTAATTTTTCACACTCAAAACGTGGGGGTAGCTAGGATGAATCAACGATATCACGTAGGGACTTAAGTCGAGTATTTGTGACATCACGCATATAAATACGCATATGCGTGAAATCAAACAACTAATAAGGTACATACGGAAATGGAAAACCGTTTGCTTCCATTGACCAAATAGTTCTAAAGATAACTTGGTTATAGGACAAATCAAAATTAGAAAAACTGGGTTTTTTAACAATATAAATCCACTTTCTAAACGAGCGTACCTGAAGAAGTCAAGTGGTAATGATAAGCTAGAATGTAAACTGGGGAAAATTAAAACTGGGAGCACCACCATTTTAAAACTATGAAGTCATTGACTTACATATCCATAGGAACAAAATAGTAACTAGATAATCGCATACACAACATCCACAGCCATCTGAAGATTCCGAACGCAGAATTTTCGAAAACAGATAAACAAACAAGCAACAGCTGACTGTAACGATTTGGAGTCGTGGTGATCAAGTGCTGAGACTATTTAATGTCAATAAATAATTAGGTTCATCGTCATAGTTCAAGCTGGTTTATAGACTTTATTTTTGTGTCAAAATAACGGCGCTTTTTAAAAATGCTGGTGGAACGCAATATCTGTCAGAATGTTAATCTCACCATACTGGAGTGCAGTCAGCAAGCCGCAGAGTTTAGGACGTTTCTTGATAATAGTGCTGACACCTCCTTTGGTAGTATCCCAAGGCTTTTATTACAAGCCGCTGATCGAGATTTGCTTTCCAGGTTTATACGTATTTTGCATACATTTGACCGGCATGTGATGCTCGGTCTATATCATGTGAATCGTAACAAACAATTCATAAAGGTTGTTTTTGTGTATTTTGGAATTCCTATTGATTTCTATTCTAGTGAGCTTGAGGTATAAGTTAGGCGAATCCGTAGTGACAAGTTTACAATGGTCCTGTATCTGACTCGAGTTAGAGGTTGTACCAGTCTTTTTTGCGCACACAATTCTGGTTTTTCCAGATCTATGGCTATTGCTTCGGCAATGCAAAGAAGATGCAGTCTAATTGTCCTAGGAAGACTTCTACTTACCTTATAAATGGCTTTGAATTCAGAGTCTGTCTTGATTGAATAACCTGTGTTCACAAGGTGTTCGATTATAGAACTTCTTATTGAGCCGTTGCCTCCTCTTTTTAGCCACGCCGGCATGGAAAACTAGAATTGTGTGTGCAAAAGAGACTGGTACAACCTCTTCTTCTACCATGGTCTTGATGTATTAAAAATTTTCTCTCTTTTTCATACTCTTGTTCCTTTACAGCCATATGCTTCACCTTTCATCGTCCCTTTAAATCTTCTACCCACAACTGGTTTGCTTTTTATTTCCACGATCATTCCGATTACATTTCGTCTCTGTTTCAAAATGTTATTTTATCATGCTCAGCCATCTTTTCCCAATGTTAACTTCCCTATCTATCTTTTATTGAATACTTAAGCTATTAACAATCAAACGATTGTTAAACTTTCCTTGTTTAATACCTTTGTTTATTTAACCCCACTGTCACCATATATAACAGGTTTATTATCAGTATTATCATCCTGTAAAAATAAGCATTTATATATTTGCGATTGTACAGCTTTGAAAATGAATTCGCCGGAAAGAGAACCCTTCGCTGAACTAATCTTTCTTAGTTATTGTCTTAATGGGTGTATTCCGTCTATTAAAACAAAGTGATGCGGAGCGGAGAAGGCGAGTTAGCCAACGCATTTTAATGAAGCATGGCTCGATATTCATAGTCAAACAAAAATACGTTACGGACACAAAATGAATAGGGTACGTAGTTAACACACATGTACTCATATAAAAACAGTCAGGTCTAATAAGCGAATAAGTGACAAGGTCAAAATATGACTCCGGAAGAATGAATAGATCAGTCCGTCCAGAAGCTGGAATAACCGATGTGTACTTGACATGGCAACAGTACAAACTATGACAATTAATGAAAAAACACAAATTGTAACAGAAACTAATTACAGAATGACTCTATGTTAACTATCTCCATAGCTTTTTCACAATATACGAGAAGAATATTCGTTGCCTAAGAGATTTCATATTTGTCAGTAATGAGCAAAGTGACTTATTTTTCAGAGAGAGGTTTAAACACTTGGCTTAAATACCTTTGGTTTCATAATTTATCTATAGTTTCACGTAATTTTCAGTCGAGGTGTTTGGCACATTACTTTCAATGAATATTTAAATGTAATGAACTATTAGTAAAAATGAATGAATAAAAAACTTGAAAGATGTATTGAATATTTCTCACTTCAACAGAGTGATCCAGAACATTCACGGAGGTACAAAAGTTTGTTTGAACCTCGTAAGAACACGATACTTCAAGCTCATTACATGAATTTAATTTTGTCAGATATACACTACCATCAAGAAAATAAAAGACAACTCAAAGATCCTTTATCTATGTGTGTGCAAAAATCCCTCTACTTATGAATTCCAGGAGACCATAAGCTTTTATTACATCCTTAACTCAAATTTACTATTCCCAAATCTCTTATTTCTGTATATTATGTGTGACTCTGATTCAATATCAAATTATCATCATACATTTTTACAGTCAATTTTAGTTTGTGTCCATTTCATTTCTATCTTATTGTAGTTCACTATTCTGATATGTTTTACTCATCCACATATTTTTGGTAGGTTACATATGAACTCATCGTTTGACTGTTACCACTTAATCCGGTCGATTTTTTCCACCGTTTGTAATAGAATCGGACTACCTGTTTGTTAGAATTTGTAATGGTGGCATTAGTATCAGTTGAAACCAAAGTTTATCAAGATTCGGTACCGACTGGTCGCAAAGGTGTTGGTTCTCAAAGCTGAAAAGGAAATAACTTAGAAATTTCACACTCGACATTCGACATGGAGAGGAGGTCAGAGATGGTGAACGCAGAAAAGATTGTTCAGTGGGTTGTGGCTCAGTCTTGCAGGCGTAGTCATCCTGTGTAAACTATACCTTTCCACGTTATATACACTATTTTATCCTCTGGTAGATGTGTTCTACAAAAATGCTAGATGTCCTATTGGGGATTGTCACGGTAGGACGAGTCAGTGTAGACCATGACGTGGCTTCTACGTAAGATTTTATAGATTGTATAGTCAGGCCGTAACAAATGTTTAAAGGTAAATGTACTAATATCAAACTATCCCATAATTCTACATGTTCCACCTTTTTAATGTTTTATTACTAGTATTACTGTTCATTATCAGCCACTAGTTTTGATCACTAGCTCAGTGTATCAAAGAGAATTTTCGCCCCCTGTAGCTGCTAGCAAAAAACGAACTATGTAATAAAGACAAGGTTTTTGACGTTGCGCTTACATAAATAACATGACTTCACATGAACCCAACAGCTTGGCTGAAATATAATCTCCTACTTATTTTTAGGGGAGAGAGACTAGGAAGTTTTTTGACAGAAAATATTTTTGCTTTCCCGTTCTTCAATCTGTTTGCTATGAACTTGTAGTGATATTACATCTAATCACAATCTTCGAAGGTGAACATGCGATAGCTGGGAAAACAGATATTCAACATTTAAAACGGAGAAAAGGCCAACAATGGGGGACGCGGGCACATCCAATCAATCGGTGATGTGGCTCAGCCTTGCAGACGTGATCATTTTGTATAACTTGTCTTTATTCACACTAAATATACTATTCTATACTTAGCCCAAACGTGTTCGTCAAAAGCCCTAGATGTTATATTGCCTAATCTTATTATATGGCGAGTCGGTGCAGAAGATAATGGGACTTCTACGCAAGCTCTCATAAATCAGGTAGTCACATCACGAAAAATCTACAACTTTGGAATGAGGTCTATTACTAGAGTGGTACTAATAACGAACTAGATCAGAGTTCTACAAACACACTAGTTCTGTGTTTAAAGTAACTGTACTCTATCCCTTTACTACCTCACACGTGACCAGGGAAACACCAATGAACCAAAAGACAAAAATCTGATTTAAAATGTAGTACTATAAAGGTATGAAAATTCATATAAAATAGTACTTGTTATACAAACACCTGAATAGTTTCGCAATGGATATAGTCTAATTTTTATTTAACAAAGTCAATGCAATTACGAGGTGAAAAACAAAAGTCTTCTGCCCAACAAAAATCGACATTCTGCACCTCGAGGACTTAGTACAGTCAAACCACAAGGTATCAGTGAAATTAGTTTTATTGGATTAAAGGGGTAATAATAATTTTGTTGATGTATAATTAAGCTCCAAATTATCCGTCAGTGATTATTTCAGGCCACTTGAACTTACCCCAAGAATAGTTTCAACTGAAAGTAATACTTAAAAGAAAAGTATCGTCAAAGTAGAAGTAACTCTTTCAACTGATGACGAGTCTCATGTAGATTAGGTAACTAAAGAGAGCATAAGTGATTTAAAAATTTTCACTTTAGACGTAAAGATTAGTCATAATCACCTAACTGTGGCCTAAGTGAAAATGGGTCGCAAATTAGCATTTGAAACTGACTTCTTTATCTTTTCAAGAATTGATTTCGCCAGGATGCAGTTATTTTCTACCACTAAGGATCTCGATAGTGGTATGGGCAAAACTTACCTTGAGGTTGGGGTTACGCTGAACTTCAGCCAAATGTTTTCTGGACGTCTGGTGATGGACGAAAAAGATATCAAAGTCAGTATGCGTCAATGTGGGGACATTATTGAGAGCCCACGGTCGATCCATGCAAGCGTGGTCACGCTACGTAACCCATTCGCTTATGCATTAAGCATATTATTTTTTCGTTAAGACTGCACTCGTTTTTCGAAGGTTTCTCGAGAGAAGAAAATTTCAACCACAAGGTAAGTCTGCTTAGATTGAATAGTGAAGTTATTTCAACGTAAGATCATATTGATTAGAGTCCACATACGCCCAGCTAAACACATTAGAGTATGATTATTGGTCTGGTGATATAATTAAGTTCAATAATAGTGGTCTCAGTACCGAATCTCAGTGCCTCATTGATGCATTAGTATGGGGGACACTGAAACCCGATCAGCCAGGAGCATGAATGCTGTTGGCTGTGTTATATTCGAAGGGAAGACAAGGAGACATTGCCTAGCTAGTGCAGTTGTCTAAGCCTGTCGTTGAGGAACATTAGTTGCCGTGATTACAGTTAATGAGGGACTATCATTATTAGGAGTTGACCGTGCCATGAATTACCATATGTTTGGATTCACTGAAAGATAAAAACGTAAAATTAATGGTACTGGCCTAAACTGTTTGGTGAATTGGTTGATTATGTTTATTGCATCGGGACTGTGAATAGTTACGTGATTTTATGCTTAAGCACATTGAAATGTAGTACCTCAGCAAGGAAAACGATGATTTCCTGAACTGAAAATCAGGTTACATAAATTCTGTGAGTAACGCGTTGGTGGGA